CGTGAATTAAAAGCCATCTCATTTCACTGGTACTTTTCATTTAATCACTCTGTTTATAAAAGTAAAAGCTAGTACCATCCTTATTATTTAAATATTATTCATTTATAAAATATTTAGTTCAAGGCACAGTGCTAAGTGGACTCAGTCTCCTTTGAAGCATCATGACTACCATGTAACTGAGTACCACTGAGGGGGAGGAATGGGGCATTTCATAGGAAGTGGAGTAGCCTGTAGGTGGTACTGAGGGGCCTTGGGACTAGGAGACTGAGCTGTCAAGGAACCAGTTCTTTGTGTAACTTTGTTTTGTTAACATGGGATCTGGGAGAGGTCCTGACCAGTGAAATGTCTTAGACGAGAAGTAGAGAAAGAAAGGAAAAATCATCTGAGGTGAATCCCACATATTAGTATCCCATGAAATTAATTCAGATGTTGCTGGTATTGAACGAGACTTAATTGTACCTTGTGTCCTACTCATGAAAGTGGTATTGGTAAAAAAAAAAAAAAATACCATAGATGAAAACAGAATAGGGCCTATTTAATCCGCTCAGAGAACAAATCATTATTGAACATTTTGGGCATACAGTATGAGATTATTAGTGTTCCTAGTCTGTTAACAGATTTAATATAATAATTCTCCTTGCCAATTTTTGTGTTAATTAGAACTCAAATCCATTGTGTGTATATGTATGTGTTTCCCCATAATTTAAATTGGTTTTCTTCTTCTTTTTTTTTTTTTTTTTGGTTGTTTGGATAATTTATTGTGTGACTATTCCCAAGCAGTTAAATTGATGATGAAATAGAAATAGTTCAAGTAAAGCTATTAAGACATTTATGTTTTAGAAGATTGTTTTTAGATGACCATGTTTGCTCAGCACTGAGTATATATGGGCATATATCTATTGATCATTTATTTTTTTAAGACAGTTTTTCTCCTGCCTTACTTTCTAAACTGGATGAGTATTTTATATTTGAAATATCTACTTTATGTATTTTATATAGAAAGTAGCCCCCAAAAATTCTGTTTAAGTTGCCTCTTTATTAGCTATAGAATTAGAATTTTTAATTACCACGATGTAGCCTGAACTCCCGAAGGACCAAATGAAATTTTGTTGATATTTGAGTTGTTRGTATATTCTGTGTACTTCCAAAACATACTTTCTTCCTCTTTTTTCTCTTCTACTGTCACTTTTCAATATACTTTATTCTTTTCCTGTGCATTTAAATTTATTTTAATTGTGTTTTCTAACAGYAACTGAATACAATGCTTTATTTCAAGTTTCTTTTTAAAAAAGTCTTTTAAATCACTTAACATAAAAGATGCTAGCATATATGTTTTTAAAAGCACACACTGACTGGGACTGATGTGAAGAGAGTGTCAATGAAGCAAGACTGGTTTCTGCTGTACTCTCCAGAGTCTGTAATTCAAAAGGAAGTTGACTTTATTTGCTGTGGTTGACAGCTTCTTCTCAAATTGCTTGAATAAATTTGGGTATTAATATGCTTCCTGTCTATTTAGAGAGAATTACTGTTCTATCTGCCTCAGGAGACTGCCTCACTTCCAGATTTAACTTGSCACAGTATGATGGGCCCAAACTTTTGAGTAAGGCATCCTATTTACAAAGTATGCCTTGATTGAATAAATATGTCTCAATACTGTGACCAACACACCGTGCTACACACCAAGATATCTGAGGAGTGTCTTCCGTGAACTTCAAACTGAGTTGAACCAAGTAGGATTGTTCCATTATTCCCACATTCCCTAAAGAACAGATGTGCTCTTTAGGCAGGTAGAGAGACAAACTTCCAAGTGCATCCTATGGAATAAAAATGAGAGAGGAAGCCAGGTGCTATGGAACATGTCTATAATCCCAGTGGTTCAGGAGATTGAGACAGGAGGATCATAAGTTCAAAGCCAGCCTCAGCAACTTAAGGAGGCACTTAGCAACTCAGCAAGACCCTGTCTCCAAAAGTAAAATGTAAAAAAATGGATATGGCTTAGTGGTTAAGCATCCCTGGGTTCAATCCTCAATATAAAAATTTTAAAATGAGGGAGGAATCAAGAGTAGATCCTAGATTTTTTGGCTGGAATGAAGACCTGGGTGGATATTGGGATTAGTTGCTAAAACAAGGATCCCAAAGGAAAGCAGGCATGAAGGGAAAGATAATGGGATCAGGTTTAGAAATACTGAATTTGAGATGACTTTGGGTCAATTAGTTGGAGTGTCTAGAACAACTGAGCTTATGAAAGATAAAGAATTGGAAACTGAAGTCATGAACTGAATAAGATTGTTCCACAGAGACTCTGAAGAGGGTGAAGGACAGAACCCTAGAATTATAGTTTGAGCAAGGAATCCCAGAGAGAAGAAAATAAGTGAACAGAAGATCTACGTCAAAAAAGGGGGACACTTGAAGATTTGGAAATGACCAATGTGATCTAAAATTTATTTGGTCAACAGAATGAAATGATAATCTCAGGGGATTTTTAACCCAGCTGGATGTCACTGAAGTGAGGTAGGAGAAAAGTTGCCCCAGATAATACTTGATGAAGCACCCAACGAGGACAGAGGTAGCACTTAGAGTTGAGGAGGAGAAGGAAATTGATCTAGAGCTTGATAAAGGTGATGGGACTTCATTAGGCCTGAATTGTGCATAGAATTGAGACTGGGAGAGAGCATTTCAACTAGGAGAATGAGATTTGTCCAAATTCATTCTTGTGCCTGAAAATCACTGAAGGTAGATTTCTTATTGATGGTGGTCCACAGTGTCATCTTTGAACAGTAAAGGCAGCATTTGGTTCCCTTTCAGTTGTACCGTTTGGTTCTATTTTTTATAACAACTATTGGTTATCATATAAAACTGGGTGTGATATTATCTGATATCATGTACCAGACTAATTTCAGGGAAGTCATGATGARAAAGTAGTATGGCTTATGTGTAGCAGGTCAGTATATAACTTTTAGATCACATGGGTCACTTCCAAAGGGAAAGGCAAATCCTCTTTACACACCCTCTTAAATTTWTAGCAACTAATTTTCTAAAATCCCTTTGATTTAATGTAGCTATTCCTAGCCATGAAGCGGCCTGCCCTRTGTTTTCCCAGTCCTTGTGTGGCTAAACTGTAGGAATATGGAGGGATTTCCTTGTGCCACTCCCCTCCCAACACCTCCCAGGCTCTAAGCCATCTTCTTATCACACACCATTGGTCTCTTCCATCTTCAGATCATAGGACTTGCAATGTGACATGGGTAGCTCTTAATTTACCAAGTGGAATACTTTGAAGACAGAAATGGTCAGGCATTACCTTGGGAAATAACCTTTGAAACCTGTCCCTATGCTACCACAATCACAATGCTTAGTGATTGCTTCCCCAGACCCACACCATATCTGCAAAGAAGGGGGTACAAAATAAGGAAAAGTCATTGGAGGAAGCAGGTCCCTGTGCTGGTGTGTCATTTCCCTAGTGATACAATCTTGGGCAGGCCTTTCCACCTCTCCAGTCTGTCTTCTCAGTAGGATTTTTGGATAATCAAGTGAGGTAGTATTTGTGAAGGTGACTGATGATTGCAAAATGCTATATAAATATTAGGTTGGATAATAGGCTTTCATCATAGTCATGAGAATGACATGAAAACAAAAGGGGACTAAGATTTCTCCCCCTAAATCTGTTCCAAAGTCCCAGACCTTCCACTCCAAGCCTGTGTTCCACCAGATGTCTCCAGAGTTACATCTCCTCTGCTCCCTGCTCTTTTGTACACATTTTTTAAATGCTGGTTCATGTGATGTTTTCTGCAAATAGTAACACTAAGTTAATCCCATTCTCTTTCCCTTAGTGTGTGTTTGAAGCCCTTSAAGTCTACTCCTAAAGAAGAAAAATGGAAAACAACTCACTAAGTGCTTCCTCYAGACCAGGCACTTTCTTTGTGAGATCCTTTTCCACAAACCACAGGCTGTTCCTAAAGAGGAGAAATTAGGAAGTCTTTGCAGCCAAGACCAGTGGAAATTACATTTCTRTTAAAAGCTATCTGTGGCTAGATGCATCCATCCTTGGTACCAAGTTAAATGATGTCATAAACTTATTCAAGACATAAAGCTATTACATGAAATGCCATTAAATATCTTCCACTCAGTGTTAACAAAATACAGCTATAAATTTCCTTTGGTTGTCATTTGCAAGTTGCTGCTTCTCAGTGGGTTATGCGTCTGCAACTTCTTCACCATCAAGTTTTGCTGACCAGTCTTTGGCAAATAGGATGTTGAGAATGCATGACCCTTTGAGATGGGATGCTTTTTCATTTTCTCATTATCATCATTCCTGAGTTTGGGAATATCAAATTTCCTGTACATTGTTTTGTGTACTAGTTTTCTACCTGCTCATGCTGAGGCTTCCTATTCCATATACTGGGAATCAGAGATCAGTAGGCCCAGCAATCCTAGCCATGGCACAGGATTCAAGGTTGGAAGCCAACGCATCTACCTTAAACTTTGAGACTGAGTCGTAGCTCTTGAGAGCTATATATTTGGGGGTATTTCTTACTTGCTGGATGAAAGAAGAAAATGAAAGGGAAGAATTAAAGGAATTACAGAGCATTGTATCTGGAAAACTCCTGTGGCCCCATTTTTCCTGTGATGATTCTCCTAAATTTGCAAACCAAAAGGAAATGCACATAAGGTCCAGACATGACTCATTGAACTTGCCTAATTCTGTGAACTTGTCAGGATTCTCATTTACTTTTGCAAGCCAAGTCTTAAATCCAGATGGGCCCCAGCTTTTTGAGCCTCAGCAGACAGAACACTGGCAAAATCGATGGGTGTGGAGAGAAGCATCCAGAATCTRCCTGGGTTCTGCTGTCCATCTGTGGTAGTCTTCTACAGTGAGTCAGACAGAATCAGAAGAAATGTCAGCTTGCTTCCAGGGTGCTGGAGGCTTTTCCATAGGATAGGGTCTGGCCACTGTGGGTCAACTAAGCTAGCTCCTGATGCTCTTGCTCTTCTTCTTCCAGGAAACAGCATCCTCCACTCGGCCGCTGATAGCGTGACCAGCGCAGTACAGAAGGCTAGCCAGGCCTTGAATGAGCGTGGGGAGCGGTTAGGCCGAGCAGAGGAGAAGACGGAAGACCTGAAGAATAGTGCCCAGCAGTTTGCGGAAACTGCACATAAGGTGGGCCAGCTGAGGGCCGGGGTCTTAGCTCTGGGCTGCCAGGAAGTTATAGTACCAAGAAACTTTTAATTTCAGCCATGTTTCCTGTGGTGCAAGATATAAAATCAAGCAGCTTTTTWAAAAAATGCCTCTTTGATAATTTCCATATGCTACTTACTAAGTACCAGAGTTATGAAAAATTTCTTCTGTATCTGGTTTCTTTGTTATGGCCTTTCTGATGTCCTCATCTCATCCCTATCTCTGGCCTTCCAACCTTGCCTCTTTAGGAAATCTGGAACATTTTTAGTTGGTGCCCAGGAGGTCAGGATTCAAGTTTCAGGGCACAGGATGAGGCAGAAATGACATYCAGTCTCCAAACTTATCCCCCACCCCTGCCAAGGCCTGAAAGTGTCCTTGGTGGGCCTTAAGCTGCTTGGGCTTACTTTTCTATCCTGTCTCTTTCCTGTCCTGTAGCTGGCATCTCGTGTTCTTGTCTTTTCCCCAGGCACAAAGCAAGCTCCAGTCTCAGGGCTGGTGTGCCCACTGACAGGGGTCAGGTTTTATTTCAGTGTATGGATTCTGGGCTCAGAGGGTGTGAAGCTGCAAGATGCCTCCTCCCTCCAAGTCTAGAGAATGGCATTCCCCGTATCACTGGGTGCACACCACGTGCCTCCATACCCTTGCTAAGAACAGCRCCTTTCAGAAGGTGAAGTGGGAGTTTTTATTGGTAGTCACTTCCTAAGGCATTCACAAACAGAAGATGAGGGGCCCTGTTGGTCAGGTGATAAAGAGGATTTATGCTGTCCCTGTGCTTCAGATCAAAGGGCAGTTCTTTTTCTGGCTAGGGATTGGAATTTAGGCTTCCAGAAACAAACACTGCTGATGATGGTCTGTCAGACTCATAATCTGGACCTTTAGATATGCTTTTCAGTGACTTTTGAGGAAAAAAAATTAATTTGCACCAACAGAAAGTCCTATTGCTGCTGAGGAAACAAAAATGGGCAACCTAAAAAGCAATAAGAAAAATAACCTCAGGGCTGGGGTTTTGTAAATAACATGCAGAAGACCCTGGATTCAATCCCCAGCACCAAAAAAAAAAAAAAAAAAAAAAAAACCCGAAAGAAAAAAAAATAACCACAGCAGAGTGGCCTCTCCCAGGCTCACATTCAGTCCCAACTGAGCATGTGACTCCAGGTAGGTGCCTCCTGCTGTTCCTCCCTGCATCAACTTTGCACAGACCAGTCGGGGGTATCATTGATTCTCTATTGCCACAGCCACAGTGTCTTACTGCACTGCTACCTCTGGGACCCTTTGGAGACCCTTAAAGAATTGGCCTGATCTTTCTGAAAATGTAACAGCCCTGCTGGAGGCCAGGGCGTCATTGCTGCAGCTGTTACAGAGGAAGTGAACTCGGATTTGAAGTTTCCCTAGTCCCTCCCTCCCTTCTCCAGCCTTTGTGTACAGAGGTGGAAATGAGATAGAAATGCTGGAATTCAGTCCCACATTCATATAGCAGCAACTTAAATAATTCAGATGGGAATGGTCAGTAGAAATTTGGAGAAACATTTTAAATGTTGAGCTGGGAAAGAGAAGGCTAAAGGGAATGATTTCCTAACTCCCTGAGGACTGGGAAGGGTGAAGTGCAGCAGTTCTCTTTCATGGCTTGTCACACAGCATGGAGCAATCAATAGAGTACTGATAAAATTCTGCTAAAACCAGAATTGAGGGTAATGATTTAACCATGAACCAGGTTAGCAAGGGAGACTATGAAATTGCTCTTCTTAAGGTGGCATAGACAATACCTGGATGCCTTCCATAAAAGCGTCCCTATCAGAGGGGGTTGTACAAACACCCAAGAGGATAACCTAACCAGATGGCCTGAATCCTTGGCCTTGGCAACTGTGTTTCCCTGATATCATGGCCAAGTTGGCTAGGTGATTGGGAAGCAATATTGTATGGTAATTAACATCTTGTTTGAATTCAGACCCGTTATTTACCATCTGAGTGACCTTGGACAAGTGCTAAATTTCTCTTAGCCCCAGTTTCCTCATCAGTAAAACACAGCTAATTAATAATAGTACTACTTTCTAGGGTGTTAAAGAATTTAATGAGTTTGAATCTATCAGCACAGTATGTAACATGTATAAATCTGAATTTTTATTATTTAAAATTACTTCCATAAAAATAGTTTCTGCTAAACCTGCCCTTTCAGTCACAATGAGCACTACACAGGAGCTGGAGAAGTGTTACTAGTGACAGAGGCTGCTCAAAATAACAAGAGAGAAAAAAATGGAGGGACACTGGGGTGGGGGGCCTCCTACTACAAGTCCATCCCCTCTACATGGAGAGCAACTTGAAACAGGAACCTGACAAAGCCACCCAAGGCAGAGGAGACTCTGGCTTTGACCATGGGAGGGTCTGAGGCAGAGGCAGTTAGTTACCTGCTTTTGGTCGAGAGGAACGAGGCAGGGGCAGTTGGCATTGGGTCCGTTTCCCCTCCTGCAGTGTTCTTCAGGGAGAGTGGCTGCTGGAGTCTATTAGCATGTTTGCAGGAGTGTGAGACAGTATCAAAGCCAGACTTGGTGTTTTCTACAACTGGGATATGTGCTTATGAATCACTGGCATTGGCAGTATTCCTAACGAGCAGATTGACCTCTTTGGATAAGGTGTGGCTGTTTTCCCAGGGATGAGGACTGCTGATTTGGCCCTGCTAGAGTAGGCTTACCAAGAAGATGTCATTTCACTGGCCAGGCCCCAGTGGGACCTGCTGGTGAGGAAAGAGTTCAGAGATGGAAGCCAGGCCTTCCACCCCCAGGCATAAGTGGCTTTGTTGACTCATCCAGAGTGGGCTATGTTTACAAGTGGAGGCACAGCACCCATGGCAGAGCCCTGAGCAGAGAACAGTGATTCTAGGTGACAGTTCCTCCAAGCTCCCAGTTGAATCAGGACACCACCCCTCGTGGGAAGGTATACCAACACCTGTCTAGACTGCAATAGAACCAGATCTTTGACCTTCTAACTTTCCCAGAATCCCTGCAATGACCCAGGTATGAGAGTARAGGAATCACTTTTGCACAGTCCTGCCCTTATGCTATTGGGGTGCTTGTCCCCTACAGAGCAAATGGAAAATGATCCTTCTCCCCACTCCCCTGCATCTCTCATCTCCGCCCTGGTTAGCCCGGCTTCAGGAAGTGCGGTTCCTTCCTGAGCCATGGACTGGGCACAGTCCCAGCTGTTAGGAAAGAACAGCTCCACCACAGAGCAGCCCTGCCCCCAAAAGCACAGCGCTACAGTGTGTGCAGTACCCACAGCCCGCCACGGGCCATGAGTCAGCAGGCAAGTATTACCCACACCTAGGCATCCTCAGATGACACTTCTCCCAGAAAGGAGCAGGAATATGCCCCATTCTGTAGAAACCCACATTGTCGGGGGCAAAGGAAGGGCAAGTGGCATTCATCTCACTGCAAGGGAATGGCCAACTCTCCAGGTACTACAGCCAGCTGTTTCCTGTGGACCTCTAGGCCCAGAGGGAAGGGTCTCAGGCCTCCTATAAGTATCTACCAAGTATCAGTGATGATTTTTTAATTATCATTATTTAGATAGATTACATTGAAAGAGGAAGTTTTCCATGAGAAATTAGGAAAACAGAATAGATCAAAAGGAAATTTTAAACTTCTTTGGGAATTCTGACACTTAAATTAATCCATAGAGTTGGAGATGTTTTAATAGATATATAAGGAAGCTAAGGTATGGAACAGCTGTGACCTTAGAGCTGAAGGTCACACAGAAAATTTGTAACCAGGTGTCCTGACCTTGTTTAGTCTAGTGTTCTTCCTGCTCTTACCATCCTGCCTTYTATTCTAAAGCTCCCAATTCCCAGGGGATTTCTCTTAAAAAGTAAATGATGCCACTTTCTGCAAAAATGCCTATCATAGGTCATTCAGGCTACTGTAACAAAATGCCATAAAACTGATAAAACAACAGAACTTTGTTGCTCACAGTTCTGGAGACTGAGAAATCTAAGAGCCTGGTGGCAGAAGATTTCATGTCTGCTGAAGGCCAGTTTTCTGATTCATAGATGACAACTTTTCAGAGTGCCCTCTAATGGTGGAAAGGGCTAGGGGCCTTTCTCTACCCTCTTTATAAGGACATAATCCCATTTATAAAGACACTACCCTCATGACCTACGTACTTCCCAAAGGCCACAATTGCTAATACCATATCATAGGGGATTAAGTTTTAGATTATGAACGGCAGGTAGGGGGACACAAACATTCAGACCATAAAGGTACTTGAAATAGCACATGAGGTTGTGTTTCTGCAAAGCACAGCTGGTCACAACCGGGTGGTCCCCTGAGCTCCATTCCAGATGCACTGTCCTGGAAACTGGGGTGTAGTTTGAGCAGCAGCACAATCACCATTGAAGATTAATGGCTATGTGTGAATTGGCACAGGTGCCTTAGTGGAAAGTTAACAGCTCAATGAATACCAGAACGGTGGCACTAATCAAATATTCATGCTTGATATTCAWTATGCATGACACTTAACAGCTCTGTGTTTATTTGATGGTCCTCATTGCTAAATAATGTTTGAGGAATGGAGGCAGAGCAAGAAGGGGAGGCCTTACAGTAAAGAGGGTGGCCAAGGAGTGGGACCAATCTGAGGTAGAGCCCTGGCTTTGTCTTTTTASTCACTGGAGTTTATAATTCTTTTTACTGTCCCGGACTCTTGACTCTTTGAGATCAGGAGTTATTAGCCACCTCCACACTTCTTGGCAGAACCCCACAGCACTCAGCCTAGCAGCCTGTGCATACTCAACTTCACATGCTCTTTGTAAAACACAAAGGTTAACCTTCCAACATGAGGGCAGGTCCACACCTAACTCTTAAAAGGCAGAGAATCTGATCATGATGCAATGGCAGGATTTTAACAAAGCTATTGCCTCACAGCGCCATCTGTTCTTTACTCAAAGGAATTCTGCATCACAGAACTCTCCTCCTGGTCATTCCCAGCCCAATCACTGGGATTCATCCCCAATGTCAGACTCTGAACACAGTCTCTACTGTGCTTTCTATGGGTCCCTTGGGAGAAGATCTAGATAAGAAAAGAAATATTTAACTCATATTCTGTATCTGCATAACGTTTTTTTAAATACATGATCCTGATCTCCCAAGTGGGCTATTTGGTGTTCCTATTTATAAAGAGCTAACGAGCTAACGTTTCAATAGATCACATTCCTCAGATACCAGTTGGAGAAGTAGTAAGTCAAGGTCTGAATTTGGTCAGTTGTTCTGCCCAAGTCAGCAACTCAATATAATTGTCAAGGTCTTCGGACTTGGTTGAAGGTCCGGACTGGGTAGTGAGTACATGATTGCATATTGTCCCACTACAGGCCATTTAGTTTTTATACATCATGGGATATCAGTAGATACTTATATTGTAGGAGTACTGCTTTTCCTGGATAATTGGTAACCTGGGAATCCCAACTTTTCTAGGGTAAGTTCTGCTTGTACATCAGTTTTTCTGGTTGTTCCTTCAATGRGCTGAAAGAATACAGCACCACACTTTCTCCCACTGGACACGTACACCACTTAAATTAACACAGGAAGAGAAGTAAGCCAGTGTCCACTGAACTATTTGAACTATTTGGAAAGTGTTGCTCATCTACAAGGTGCCACTGTGAATAGTCACAGTGATGAACAGAGAGAGTGAAGTCTTGGTTCTGCTTCTTGATGTGGATGTGGGGAGGAGGCAGCAGAGGGATCTACCTATTACTGAGGTCTCACTTTTCTCATCCCTCTCTCTCCTTAGCTTGCCATGAAGCACAAATGTTGAGAAACTGCCATCCTGATGACCCTCTTGAAAGCAATGGAAGAGAATGTTCAGCAGTTTTCACGAGAATTCCRAACCTCCACTTGCTTCTTTTTTCCAATATATGGACATTTAGGGTTTTTGTTTTTCAGTTTCAGATGTTAATATGAATTAAAAGGTGTTGTGTTTATACATTTCCCTAATTATCTTGCTAAGAAATGCTACAATAGCATTAGTTTTATTTTGATTTTTCCCAGAATGTGGGGTGGGGGTGGGGGCGGTGAATTGTTCATGTTTTTCTTTTTAAGATGAATTTTTTTGGTAGTTTGAATATAAAATTTGGACCAAATGATAAGCCAAGCTGGGTCTCAACAGGCAACATGTATTTTTTTTCTCCCTGTTATTAAGCAAGTTCAATGTGATGATACCAGATGTCATTGTTCCTGGATGAAATAAAAGTCGAGCAGCGAATGGTTTCACTCACTCTCCTAATACTTTTAATTTGAAGAGTAAAATTAAAATTCTGTATCCTGAGACATAGTCTATATTATGGAAAAACACTTGCGTTTATCAGGGGAAATAGCAGTCTTAGATTTTGCTCTTTGCATATTAATCTTTTTCATGAACCATCACCAGCATTCAAAAAAACAAATCAGAATCACAAATAGAAATCTACTTTGTGAGCTGCAGCTTAAATACTTCTGCTACTTCTTTCCAGGCTGATTATTTGGAATTATCATATGAAAGATAAAAATTTGAGAGTAAAGACCTAAGGAAAAGCCTACTTTAAAAACCTCTAAAAATCTTCATGGGTGTTTCTCTCTTTTATACTGTCCCAAATTACAGTAGCTGATATTGAAAAGAGCTTGGATTTTTATCAAAAATTCATTTGCCCAAATAAAAGTCTATATAAATGATAATGTGAAAAGTTAACTACATTTAAAGTATTTTTTTTAACAAAGCCATGCCCATTTTTAAAACACCCTCACTATGTCCTTGGGAAAGAACCTTTAGTTTGGGGTTTTTTGTTTTGTTTTGTTTTGTTTTGTTTTTGGTATCTAGTTTTGGAGGTTCGGATGTTATTATTGCTGTCTATTTATTTAATGTAACTTAACATGAGTGTTTCTTGACAAATTGCATATCATGGCAATTGTAGCTGGCCTAGTCTTTAAGACAGCATGGTCACCAAGCCGTTAAACTGCTGTCACATTGAATATACTTAGTCACACACCTTTTGATTGCTTATTGCTCAAGGTAATGCAGGGTTTAAAGTCTGGAAGTTTTGCTTCCTGAGCATTAAACCAAAAAAAGCTGTGCTTGTTCCTCATGAGACAAGTTGGTGAGCTGCACCCCCAGATAACGCTGTCAGCTCTTCCAGCAGGAATCAAGATGCCTGAGTCTTGGTGGCACCCCATTCTGCCCCTTCGCATCCATTGAGCCAATTGAGTGTATGTGTATAGTAGCCTCTTACCAAGCAGCATAAGATGACTTTTGGATTACTAATGCTGATTTAAATAGCTTAAGTTCTCCTGATAAAGCATTCCCAGGGAGACAGAAAGTATGACTATTGGAAAATAAAAATCATAGGCAGTACTTGTCAAAAAGGAGATGGGATTTGCTGGAGACAAATTTTTGAATTCTCTTAGAGAGATGATCCAATTCAAGAAAACTATAAAATTTATATAGGAAACTATAGTAAACATCTATAGTTTACTATAATACTTTGTACTTTTGGTGTCTTAAAAGGTTAAAGAAGCAAGGAGCCTGCCATTTGTTGAATACCACTAGAAATTTTCTAAGAAAAACCCCAAATATCATTCCAAATAGCTTTTGTTTGCAGACTTCCGTTCAGAAAACACACGTGCACACCACGCATGCACGCAGTTATATTTTCAACTTCCCAAACTGGATCTGGTTTCAGACATAGTTGGTATGAATAATTGAAAGAATAAATCTAAAGCCCCTGACAATCGGCCAAGTTCAAGAATAAAATTGGTTGCCAGCTATCTAACAACAGTGTTTGGGAAGCTGCTTCTAAAGTGGCAGAGGATGAGGTCATAAGCAGACTGTGAAATCTGAGATTCCTCCTCGCTGGTAAAATTCTGATAGTTATTCTTCATAAATGTAAGTATTCCACATCTTGCCCTCTCTCCTCACTCTGTTGATCCTTTTAGACCTAAGTCTTATTGGAAATAGCCTAATTAGAAGAAAGCCCATCTGACTCTTTATTAGCTTCCTCTCTTCATTAGCTTTTAGGCCGTGGTCATGCCCTTGACCTCCCTGTGTCAAAGTCCTACTTGGCCTCTGCCAAACTGGCCACACAGCACTTCCCTTCCAGCCTCTCCTAGAGGAGCCCCATGACTTCACTACATTTAAAGTTCTTTGCTATCCTTTTGTAGAAGGTGCTGTGATACAAAATATGAATACCGTCTAACCTAGAGAAAATTGCTAAAAATAAATTGTTTGGAACCAGCTCATTTGGTTGAGCTTGCTAGAGGACATTTAATTCATTTGTTTCATTTCTGCACTTCACTTTGAATTGGGGGATACTACATTTCTGTGAAGGACTTCTCAAATTATACTGACAACACAGAAAGAAAAACTCTCCAGTATTACCACTTCTTCCTGGAATGTAGTTATAGTATCTTCACTAGTTATTAGATATCTGTGTACAAGAAGTATGCAGTTATTCAGGTTAATGTTTCATTTTAAAGAATGTATTTGTAAAATGTAACAATTAGTAGTTGACTTTTTTTAAGCTCTGAAAAAAAAAATAAGATCATGTGTTAGACTTATAGTGAAATCTGTTTTAATACTCTTGTGGCTAGCAAAGGTTGTGCATTTATGTAAAAATATTTACAGGATTCCCTAAGTAAGGGATATTTAAGATAGGTTTCACTCTTAATTTTCAGAAATGTAACACTGCTAATGTCTGTTGTACAGTTATTAATTCTTCAGAAGTTCCCTAAGATGTCAAACATAATTTTTGTTTTATTCAGAGACAAGTAACACCTGCTCTGTTGATTCACTATTATGGCAAACTCTAATTTTGTCATTAAATATTTTAACTCTGTGGTGAAAGTTTGTTTCTCTCAGTTRTTTGTGGAATCTATTAACGCAACCAAACAGATGCACACTGCCACATTTTTATGCTAATGTGAAAATCTCATGTGTGTACAGGAAACCTCAGAACTAGATTTAGCAAGATGATGAAGGTTTACTATATACTTTCTAATGGAAGAACGTGAAATGTTAAAAAGGCTAAAGAGCTAGCCTCAGTTTGGGCAGTGGACATCTAAATCCAGCAAGAGTTGTTTTGGTTTTTGTGTTTTCTTCTCATGGATGAATCAATTAAGCTAATAGTCACCTTTCTGCTGATATTAGTGATGTGCTCAGCTTAAGTACTTATAGTGTGCCCTCATTCAGCAGACTAGTTTCATGCCCTGTTAAATTGGAAAGAAAACTTGATCATTTTACATCCATTTATTTTTATGGAAAAGCAAATGCATCTCAGTGTGTTGCTCCATGTGCTTTCAAGGAAGCAACTTGAATGACCACCCTAGCAGAACAGCCATTTCCAGGTTGGCATGGAAACTTGGTAAAGCAGGCAGGACTTGGAAACATTTCCTGGGAGGTCTGCAGGTGGAAGGGACAGGCTGCATTCTCCTCTGCTCAGAAAAGTAGGTAGAGAGATAGTCTGGCTAGATGATGGTCTACATTTAAGTAACTTATGCATTTAAAGACACCAGTTCTTATGAACTAAACTATAAGCCAGTTAGTTGCCTTACAAAGATGATCTTTTTTTCTTAATATGCATGTTAGCAGTTATACCATGACCAACTCTTAAATTTTATGGGAGGATTAATATGAAAAATGTTTTTTAAAAAATTGATTGTGCCTTTTCCCTGTTGTCATTGGGAACATGATTAGGAAACATTATTGATCTGTCACAATCATTATCTGCCTAAATAATCAGTTCATGAAGGTGGGCAAAAAAGAAAAGAAGAAGGGTAGTGGAAAATATCAAACAYATTTCAAAGCACAATTCAAATGTCAGAACAATGATTTCCTACTGGTACTGGTGCGTGCCCCTCTCTGGCAGGGGCTAGCCTGGGTCTGTGTGCAACTCACATACACTTGTACAGCTAGCACTGAGAAAAGGGCTGTGCTGTGCTCCTAGATAATAAGAGACATGGGAAATGTCACCTTATTTCTCTAAATGTGCTAACAGTCCTCTTCAATGAGATGATGCAATGGAGGGACTTTCTTTTGGTTTACTTTTTAAAAATCCAGAAATTATACCTCAGAGTTCCAACACTGTAACAAATAGTTGAAGTAATCAAATTATAAAGAGAAAAGATTTACTTGGGCTCACAGTTTTTGAGACACCAGTCTATGATCAGGGAAGACCTATTCCTGCTAGGTCTCTGGTGGGGGGATAGCACATGATAGTAGCATACTTCATGGTCAGAAAGTGAAAAATAAAGGAAGAGAYTGGGGTCCCACATTCCCCTTAAAAGACATTCCTAATGACCTCCCACTAGTTCCAAATTCTTTAAGGTTCCACCACATCCCAATTGCCTTTTTGATGTCTCTTGTCATCTGGTCTTTTGCAAATGAAAAAAAAAAAAAATGACTCCTGCAGGTCCAAGACTGTGGGGCACCTGTCTTCCCCAGATGCGTACTAGATTTATATAATGAAGGTTGTCGATAAAATTGAATGTGAYGTGCATTTAAGCTCTATTATATCTATGGTGCAACCTCCTGCCGTGACCCCACTTTTTTCTCCCTTGAGTCTCATCTGGAGCTACCGTATTTCCTGAGTGTTGTTTTCACTTTCCGCCTCCCTCCCTCCCCTGAAGTTTTCTGCCTTGTGTTCTTTCTGCTGTTGAGTCATGGCTGAGCCCAGAGGTCTTCAGGGCGGTCTSTGCAGTGGCCCATCCCTTGGAGCACCACTGGATGCAGTTCTGTGAAACACAGCTGCTTGCCTCCTCCAGCCCACAGGGACTGTCAGGCTACGTGACTCTGAGTTGGTTGCTCATGTGTATTGTCATTTTTCTCACGTCTTGGCCATTAGATRTTTTAAATGCTATTGATTCGGGTGGAGGGAAGATTTCTTTTTATAGCATATACATTTTTTCTGTCTTTCATGTGCTCAACCTGCCAAGGGATGCCTAATTAAATGGGGCCTGGCCTCATCACACTTCCAGACTTAGATGTGTCAGGGGTTGGACAGGAATTTCCAGCCCTGAGATCCCAGGTMTCTCTTGTCAATATTAGATATGGAGCCTTTGTCCTGTGACATTGTATCATAATTGCTTTGCCACTTTGATCATTTGTCAGAAGACACTGAAAGAAGAAAAATGAGCCCATGAATTCTTTGAGCTTTATCTTGTAGCTTTAAAACAGGCTTGGAGGATCCAGGATTTCCAAGGAAAATTCCTGTTGTAAGTTCTGACCGTGTATGCCAAATGATCTGTTTAATTACACACTGCATCTTTGGTGATTGAAGCTTCATGCCTTCTGTTAGTTTTCCTTAAAACCAATCCTTTCTGTTCCCATTCAAGGAAGGAAAATATAGTTCCTACCTACTACTAAGCATGTCTTTTTATTCATAGTACTGTGACTTCTTTCTGGGAGTTCTATTTTTTTTCTTTTTTGACTGGGATTATAATGACCGATATTAGTAGACACTTTTACACTGGTCTGAAACTTTTCAATATTGAAGGAGCCTTGGAATTATAGGAAAAGAAAATGACTGGGGCTTGTGTGTACATTGTGCCCTACCTCAACGTACCCAGGATGGAAAAACAACACATCGCCTTTTAACTGGAGTGGGTGAGGGCGGGGCGCCCCCTTGTGGTGATTTTCTGGAGTCAGCGTTGCATGGTGGTTGAGAAATAGACCCTGGTCCATCTTCCCTGCTTTGAAATCCTGCCTTGGGCAACTTACTGACTCTCAGTTTACTTAGCTTTAAAATGGGGATGATTGCTATAAGAATTGAATGAAACAGTTAATGGAAAGCCTTTAGCCGGATGCCTGCCTTGTCCAGGTTCAAGACACCCCAGATTGCAGTGGTCTTTTCTATGATAGACTCAAAACAAAGAGGTGAATTTTACAGGCTTGTGGTGCCTGCCAGACCATGGTGCTGGCTGGTAAAATGCTTTCCTTAAATCCTTTCTGGCATAGGGCATATAAGGAAGATGTTCTCCACACCTCCTGGCTATTTTTATGGCCCACGGACATAGGTCCCTCAACATGCCATAGATGACAGCTCTCGGAGAAAGAATAGACTTCCAGCCTACAGCACACAGTAGTGACATTATGGGAGACATTTCCAAGAAGGTTAAATTCACAAGAAAGAGAAGTGAGAGCAATTGACCTCKGTATCTGTCATCAATGATGGGAGTGGAAGTGAATGATTCATGGCCTGGGAGGTTATTTGACATATCTTTTAGACAGTAATTCAAATTCCTCTTTAAAGAAGAAGTTCAAGTTGGTTCTGCAGATGTATCAGTATGATTCCAAGGGTGTTAAGAAGGTGAGATGCCCCTTCTCAAAAATAAGCCATTCCCAGGTATAATTTGTGTGTATATATGGTACTGGGGATTGAACCCAGGGGCTGAGGATTGMGCCACATCCTCAGCCATTTTTATTTTGAGATCAGGRTCTCAGTAAGTTGCTCAGGCAGGTCTCAAATTTGAAATCCTTCTGTGTCAGCCTCCATAGTAGCTGAGATTATGTACAACACTATGCCCAGTTCCCAAACGTAATTTGAAAAGAACCACTGACCCCACAAATTGAACTTGGGCCTAGAGTGAAAACACCTCTAAGAAAAAAAAAAGTAACTAGTGTCTCACTAAAATGTAAATTGGTGATAACACACTTTTTCTGGAAGCATCTTGATATATTCAGCTCAGAGAAGGAAAGATCTCAGAAAAACCATGCTGTCCACATAGTTGTCATGGTGCTGTCATTTGTAAACTCCTGGTAAACCCAATATTATTATTCAGTATTTGTAAAGAACTGTCCAGGCAAGAGGACTCAAGCTGGTTCTAACAGTGAGCCTGGCTCAACCCAAATCCCAAATTCTGCTTGCTAAATATTGCAGTACAGTTATACTTGTTTGTATGTATTTTTATCAAACTGAGTCATGCAGAATGCTTTCTGATAAAGTAAATTAATTAGAATCCTTCCAAGCTGAGAGTTTCCTGGCTCCATCACCAGCTTTGTGTACATAGGCAAATTGTATTATTTTTCTGTATCTAGTTCTTTATGTCTCAGAGGAAAATAATCCCCATCCATCCTGTCTCTTGTGAATAAAGGGAGATGTGGAAGCCGACAAAGTCCTGAGAAGGCAAAGCTCTAAGGAGGTGCGGGTTCCTTATCCAAGCTTGGTCTTCCACTGTCCCTATCCAAAGCCCACGGGATTTCTTTATCTACCACACCTCCCCCTATAGGGGTGAGTTCAACCGGACCATCCCTGAGCCACTGGACTTTCTTGCCCCCATCAAAGGAAAAAGAAAACCCCCCAGACACTGTGACTCTACTTGCCATTATGAAAAGTGGAACAAAGGCAATAGTAGGGGACAGTGTGGTGGAGACAGTGGAGCTTAGCAGGAACACCGTGGGGAAACGCTCAGAGCAGACAGGTCATCCCGGCTGCAACTCACTACGCGACCACTTGTGACTCCTGAGAGTCCTAACATCTTCTTGGAGAAGACTACCTATTGGGGAAGACTTGAAAACAAACAGAACAAAATTTCAGAAACTGAAATATACGGGGTCAAATAGAGGGGTGCCTTGGGACCCATTGGGCTCCTGCAGCCCCCCACTCTATAGTTCCTCTTATTCACTTCCTGCTCTGAGGGGTCACCAGGGTGGGCAAAAGGCAAATGGAGGCAGCTGTTGCCACAGGAGGAGAGGTGAACTCTGATGAATATTATTCTTAAAAAGTGTGGGTCACAGGAAGGGGTAACAGGGGCAAGGACAGACCCCTGAAAACCCAGGGCTGGTCTTGCTTATCAGTTGAGGACAGCCTTCTAGCAGT